AATTGGTAATGACATTTATCGTAGTTAGCATTTTATTAATTGATATAGAATAGAGTAATATATATTAAGTTATACTAATGAACAATTTTGTTGCTTTGATAAATAGAATTCATATTTACAGGATTAACGGATTTTGTGTCTGACTTTTTACAATCGATCAATCGACATTACGCCTATTCTTCGGATTATAAATAAATTTTTCGTTCTAAAGGTCATGTACAGATTCAAGGTGTCTGCACCGGGCACGGTGCTTTTATGTGGAGAATATAACAAAAGTTGTGCAGCAGCCGACTTAGACATGCGTACCGTTCTTACATTCTCTTCATTTCCTACAGAAGTAGTTCGAAAAGATTTTATCGAAATAAAATTTTCCAGTATCCGATTACACATGAAGATACCTTTACGCATATTTCTTTTACATTTTTTTCAAGAAAATTACGATTGGACACGTAATCCACGTCAGGTGTTTGAATCAGTAAAAAACTTTATTGAATTCTTGACGGGCTTTCCCGGCAATTACGATCTCGACAATCGCGCACATCAGTTAAGCTTAGAAGCTTTCTTTTTTCTTCTCGTTACGATTAGCTATGAAAAAAATATCATTATAAACTCATCTTTCGTTGTGGAAATTTCATCGGAATTACCGATTGGTGAAGGTCTGGGCAGTTCGGCCTCGTTTGTAGTATGTTTAGCAGCATGTTTTTTTCGTTGGAACCTCCTGCAGAAAGGAACAGTACGCTACATATTTAATCCTATAGATTTGATATATATCATGAAATATGCCTCCGCTTGTGAGTCTTTTGTATACAATTCCTCCAATTTATTCAAAGTTCGAATAAGTACGAATGGCACGTTACAAGTATTTGAAGAAGAGAATCGGATGGTACATTTTTTTTCTGACCTGCCGAGCATGAAGATCCTGTTGGTCTTTTCAAATGTTAGCCAGAAAATCGAGCAAAATAAAGTAGAAATAAAAGTGAAAAAGCATTTATCTTCTTCCGTTGATAGTATTCTAAATAGTATCGAGACTATATCGAAAAAGTTTATTCAAACCCTTAAGGAGATTAAAACAGAAATGCTTTCCTTGAGACAGCAGGAGATCTTTGAAATTAATTCAGTTGGTCTCATAAACTATTATAAAAATTTAATGGTAAGTCTTATTCTACGAATTTTGATATAATTTAGCTGCATGTTTTTGGTGTTGGTCCCGCCTGCTGAAAAAAAGGCACATATTTAGAATTATCATTTAAAATCATTGTAATTATATTTCTCACATACATAGCTATACGCTGATAACTTTAATCGTCTTCTAACATACTTTGCAGGATCTCATTCATATAAATCAGGGATTACTAAGAGCGTTAGGCACATCACATCCAAACCTAGATATTATTTGCACAATTGCGCGGGATTTTTCACTTGGAGCAAAAATCGCCGCCAACCGCAAAAGTGGATACGTATTTACTTTGCTGCTAGCAAGCACCTCAGATGAATACATCCAAGATCTGATCAAGATATTTGAGTCGCATAATTTCACTGCCAAGATAGTCAGTTTGAATTGTAGCGGAGTAAGAATCGAATAACATGTTGATATCTATAATTAGTATGAGTAGTTAAATATAAACAATGACTAAAAAAAGCTTACGTTAAGAATTTATAACGCACGTTATGCAGAAAAGTTTTATATAGTACATTTTGTACGCATTAATGGACTGAGTATAGAAATTCGCATTTATCGAATTAGATAAGATAACAGAATATTGATTAAATAATGTAAGATATTTGCTTCTAAAAATTGTAATAAAATCCATATGTATTAGGTGATATATGAAGATATATATTTTACAGATATATGTTTTATTT